TCACGTTGTCTTCAGAGGTCTCAGAAACAAATTCAGCCTGTTTTCCAGCGGTGGCTTTGATAATTCCTCCAGTTTTCTCTTTGTTTATGAAAGTTCCAAGTGCTGAAACAAAATAGGGACACAGCTGCAGTACTTGTAAGGAATTTTGCGAACAGGAATACGTACAATTATATATATATATATGTATGTATATTTTATATATATGATCAATTTGCCAGGAATGGACACGAAGAAAAAAAAATGGTACCAAATATTCCCCAATTCTATGACTGAGAAGTACCTAGCAAGCAAAAAGGGAACAGAATGACTTGATGATGCTGTCAAGGGTCTCTCTAGTGTTGGTCCTCATAACTCCCTTCAATCATTGCCTTGATGGAGACAGAAACTTGTCCTGTGTAACAGGTTCCAGGTGTTCCAGGTCCCTCCCTGACCTGCTTTCTAGGCTCCACTTGGTCTTCTACAGCAATTACTAGCAGCAAACAACTCACACATGATCATTTAAGCCAACGAAGCCCCATTTCTTAATGATTTGAGTCATGGGAGACATTTCCAGCGTGTTCTCTGATGATTCACAACAGGACAATTTATAGTGCAGCCCTTCCCTCCTTCAGTGGGAAAACGGTACAGTCTTTCTCCTCTACCTAACTCAGGAAGCCTGCAGAGCCTGAGTGTTGATGAGACTTCTATTTGGCAGAAAGGAAGAAGGTTCATTCCTGCACCTTTCACTTCTTTTAGGAAAATAGAGCACGAAACACAGCCACATCAGTCTGCAAGAAATTTCTCACCGATTCTTTTCAACACTTAAAGTCATGTGTGAAAGGACATTTGGCACGTGAAGTCTCGTGGCAGAGAGAGGGACCAATGGAGCACCTTTGGGTGCAAGGCCCAGCAAGGGCAAGGCTTCTGTCGGCAAAAGAGACGGTGCCCTCTCGCCAGCCATGTGATGCCCATGTGCCAAACACAGCTGACCTAAAGATCAAACGATTCACCAACTAATGGTGCCTGATATATAGGAAGAACAGAAAATTAAAGCGGTGATGTTGAAATGCAAAATCTTCGGCGAGCATGATGGTGGAAATAGTCCAGAGAGCCACATACCTTTCACTGAAAGCTGATAGACCATTTTATCCCCTTC